CATCAAAAGGAAATTGAATTAAGAGTTAAGATGAAATCATAAGAGGAGTGAGAGGGAGATTTCAACTGTTTCCAATTTCTAAATGAGAGAAAGAGAGAGATGGAGGATAACTTGGTGAGAAGTTCAAGGAAGTATTCTTGGTGTGGGAAATAATCTCTCTACAAAAACAATAATAAAGAAGGAAACTTATACAATGAAGCAAGTAATCTTTTTTTTTTATTTTTTATTCCTTGCACTAAAACAAAATCAGGCTCTCTGGATCAAGCAAAACAAAAAGAAAGAATAACAATAAAACATTCTCTTTCTTTTCTCATTCAAAAGTTTATTAAAGAAAAATGTAATTACTCAAATTAAATTCCATAGTACCTAAAAACTCGATAGAGATATTGATTCTAGAAGAGACAGGCTTGAAAACTTATTGGAGTAATCTATTTTTCCTCTGCTTTTCCTTCCAGGGGAAATATCTTGATTCTCAAAACACTTTCCAATAGAGAAGAAGACATAAGAGGATAAAGCCTTGATGCAAGCTTCCCTTTATAAAGAATGCAGATTCATCAAAGATGTTTGTTATGCATTTACTTAAAACTATGAACACGTTATGTCTCCTAAAGATCAAGAACGCAAATTCAAGATAGTGACTTTGATCAATGTCCGCACTCGGCAATGCCGGTTACTGCAGAAGTTGACAAGACAGCTACTGAGCCAGACCTAACCGATACTAGTTAAAAAAAATGGAAGCAAACGTGTTGAAACAAGTACAAAATGTACTCTCAAGCAATCTTAGGCGCAATCACAGATACATAACGAAAATGTATTTGCTCTTACTCTATCCTCCTTATCCACTTCTTCGACATGCATAATAGCTAGAAATCAGGAAAAGAGGCTCACAGTCATACAAGCTGCAGAGAAGTAGCACGCTGTGTCTGTAATGAAATTATCTAAAGATCCCAGAAACTTAAGAAAGAGAAGCCTTTCTATTTGGGATTAAAGATCATTCATAGCAGAGTAAACAACTAATGGTAATCCAAGATTATACCAATTCCACAATGTTTCCCCATTCATCAAAAGTTCAAAAAATGAAAAACTGTGTTATATCACAAATACTAGTAACTGATCAACAGTAATGTAATTGAAAGAAGTTGATGAATGGTTTATAGCAGCACTGTTGCTTCAGCTCAACTCTCATAAACCTCTGCAAACAAGAAAATGATAAAAACCATTAAAAATCTGTTGAATCCTATCACAGGCTGCAACAATGGTGGACAAGCAACCTAAATCATACCCAAATTTAAGCTCTTGGTCATACCCAAATCATCGAATCAACCCAAAATATTTCATAAACGGATCAAGTGTGAGTACAATGATTCCAACAATACCACTAACCAAAACAAGAACACCACCAAAACCCTAAAATTCGAAGATTTCGGAATCTGGAAATGTTTACCTGACTTTCTTGATGAGAATCGATTGGAGTTTACGAGCAAAGTCGATAGATTTGATCCTGCGTTCTAGATTCTTCCTAGCTAAGACCTTCTTCTCCGAATTCTTAATGTGATGAGTCTGATGCGCTTTTATCAGCCGCTCCATTCCACTCGATTGCATCTTCCTCTGTAAAATCGTAAGCGCCTTGTCCAGATCTCCCGAAAGCACTTTAACCCTAATCCCACGCTCTTGCTGCAACTGGTTATGACTCGCCCGAGTCACAATTCCCGTAACTCGCTTCACTATCGTGTTCATCTTTCACTCGTTTTCTGCGAAATGGTATTCCAAAATCACGCCTGAGAACAAAAAAAACAGTGAATCGGAGAAACAAAGAATCTGAACGGAATACGGCTTACCGGTCGGAATCTCGCCGGAGAGATATAAGAGCCGATTCACTGATGATACAGACGACAGATTGTTGTGTAGGTTAAAAAGGGCTTAAGGTCAGCGATGGAGGAAATGAGGACAAATCAAAGAATTTAGGGGTGATTATGTAATTAAAACAAAATATAGGGGTATTTTGTAAATATAGAGATAATCTAAACCTCTGATTGATTTAGAGAGTTTTGACTTTGAAGATTCAAGCCTTTCAAAAAAAGCTTTCTTTAATTTCTCTCTGTGAAGTGTTGAGTCTCTCTCTCTCTCTACAAGCTTCCCTCACATGGCAGCGATTGACATAGTAAGCTGAAGAAGAAGAAGTGTTGCTTATCCAC